AGTCAGTTAAGTCTCTTCAGGCTTTATTCTGGAACCATGCATTGAGCCTCTCAGCTCCTCTGTCAGTGTCAGCCATCAGGGTCGGTCACGGCCTTGCTTGACCACGTTGCTTTCAGTGAAAGCATGAGAGATTTTTCCCTTGGGGTGACACTCTTTTGGTACACAGTATATTTGTCCTCTGATGCCCAGCAATCTCCCTGCTCAGGAGGTTGAGTGACTTACCAAAGATGTAGGATCCTGTAGGAAAGGTTCCTTTGTGTCCTGGATCTTGTAGACCTTGAGAGGCCAGGGCCAAAATATTGGCTGTCCTCATAGCCCAGTTACCTTTCTAGTTTTGGTCTCCATTTCAGTTGTTGAACACCCAGGAGAGAAGATCAGTGACATTAGTAGTGCAGTAGGAGCAGTAAGCTTAACTATTATAATTTTGTTTGGACATTAGGCACTTTGAAATATAAAGCATAATTAGGGGGCTGTTATATTTTATCAACCATAGTTGTTCTTAGTTTAATCCCTGCAGAATATTAACAGACAACAGTTATATATTATAGATGTTAGGTAAAAAGAGCCCAAAAGCAGGACCAGACCAGGACCATAACAAGCCTTTGCTTTGGGAGGATATGCCAGGCTGTCTCCAAACAAAGGAGAGAGAGCAATGTGCCTTTTATAGGAGCGGGATGGGGCTAGAATGAGCTGGGGTGGAGTTGAGTGAGGTAGTAGTAAAGGATTGGAGGAGCTTGTGATATTGCTAGTTGCTAGAGAGGTAGCAAGTATCAGGTTACTTTTTGGTGGGAAGAGGGGCATTTTGGGAAGGATGTCTTTTTGGTGGAAGAAGCCGTATTCTAAATGAGAAGCAGGGCATAATGGGAAGAAGGCTGTTGTTTTATGTGTTGGCTCTCTTTTCTTTTTCTTTTCTTTTTTTTTTTTGGTACCTGGGATTGAACTCGGGTCTTTGCGCTTGCAAGGCAGGTCCCCAAACTGCTGAGCTAAATCCCCAGCCCATGTATCGGCTATCTTAAGGCAAGGGAAATCTCACATTCCAGGCTTTTGTTTTATGGTTGTTGGGCAAAGCTCTCTTCTTCTGGAGCTGCTTCAAGCTGACAAAGGGGCAAAAATTGGAGTTAAACCTGGATCTGATGGGAGCAGCTGTAAGTGGGATCTTCTTCCTTCTGCCTTAGTGGCTGGCACCCCACCATGACAAGTTCTCTACCAGTAGAAACTTAAGATCAAGACCCACACACAGTATTTTAGCATGACAATCATGATGACACTGTCTTTGTAACAATGTCCACCTTAGTATGGAATAATCTTTTAGTCAAACACCTCCATCTGATCACAAGACATTAAATGACAAAATTCTTATTTAATTCTTATTTGTTATCCTTTAGTAGGATGCCATCTAAAGAGAACATGCATATTGACCTATAAATGTACCTTAGGAGTTCATAATGTTTAACCTCTAATTTTAGTGTGTGACATTGTTTTGACTGGTGACTGAGTATCCCTAAGCATGGTGACACATATAATATACATCACATGATTTTTTAAGAAAACTATTATTTGATTGGTTATCTCATGCTGGCTTGACATGTATCTCTTATAACAAGTAGCTGGAGTGCAAGAAAGGCAGATACCTGAGTCAAAAAGATCATTGCCATAAACAATATCCTAGCAGACTTGTACACCCAGAAGGCATGAATATATGCACCATAAAATACAATGAGTATCAGTTACATGAAACCATTTGTCCTTTAATTTTGTTTTGTACCAAGACCATTTTAAATAAAGCCTTATTGTTTTCCCATAGAAATCTTAGCCGTTTGACCATGACCAATGTATACATATCACAATAATATGTTTAGTAATGCATTTCCCACAAGGCTATGGAAATTATTGGGGTCCCTTTTGTGAAGAAAGGCTGGAATAAATTTTTCCAGGCAGCCACTCCTTTATTTACCAAGGGGAGTCCTGTCCAGTAGTTTTCCTAAGCCCAAGAGTTTTTTTTTTAATTATCTTAACAAATTTTAGATGATCTAGAGAGCCAGATCATAACAATTAACACATTATGTTTGACCAATGAAAGATTCCTGAGTTATTATATATAGACAACAATACGTACTGTATGTGTAAAACAAGTTGACATTATTCGGACCATCTGGCAACCTGAGGGAAGTGTGCCTTTAGTGACATTTATCTATAAGCCATCCTGAGTTACAGGGAAACATCTTTAAAAAACCCAAAATGTCAGAGCTGGGGATTTAGCTCAGTGGTTCCAGTGCCTTCCTCGCAACTGCAAAGACCTGAGTTCAATCCCGGCCACAAAAACAAAAACAAAAACAAAAAACCCTCGAAACAGCTGTACATGTTGTAACAAGTTTTGTTTTTGTTTTGGGTACCAGGGATTGAACTCAGGTCCTTGCACTTATGAGGCAGGCAGCGGAACCACTGAGCCAAATTCCAGGCCCATGTCGTAACAAAGTGAACAGACAAGACAGACACGCACACACATAAGACAACTTGCTTATAAACCAGAGTGCACTCAGATGTATTTGACCAACTTGAATTGTAATAACTTTTATCATTTTTCATTTTATAATTATAAAAAAGACTAGTCAGAACTTTATAGATCTCTTGTAATAAGAATCAAAAGGAATAAAAATCTATGCCTGTGAAAATAAAAGCAGCTTTAAGATGGGCCCTAAGGTGACAGTTTATCTGACTGGAATACCAAACTACACAAGTTTCTCATGGTTCCTTTTATAGCCAGTTGTTTGACAGCCACATATAATTATTCCCTCTAAAGGGACAGACTGTTACAAGTAATTTTAACTATCTCCAGGGTGGGGGGTCCACTCAGGCCAGGTTTACATGTAGAAGAGACTAGGTGACACTCTTTGGAGTCTCATTCGTAAGTATGAATTCATGCAGTGAGGGAAGACGACCTGCCAAGGCTGCAACCAGCTGTGCTGCAGATGTCTGCATTTTGAAAACAAAGGTAAAGAAGGCATCTCCATCTGTCCCTCTGTCACTCTTGTTCTTTGACCATTCTGAGGTGACCCCTAGACTATCTCATCCAACGCAAGTGGTGACAGAGTAGAGGTACAAGGAAGTGGCCAGAGTTGGGCTAGCTGTTCTTTTCATTTGCTAATTTCACCTGAGGGCTGAAAGACAGATACATTTGGACTAAAATTTACATTTAGTCTTCAAGAGTTTCAGGATTAAGCCTAGACCCATTTTTCTATGTGGGCCAGAAAAAAAGTGAAGGTCAGCTTTACTCTGGAAGCTTTACTTTCTAGGAAAGGGAAAATCGCCATTCTGGAAGCTTTGTTTTGAAATCCAGCAGCTACAGAGGAGGGAAGTGCCTTGAATTATATGCTATTGAGAACTGCGTTAAAGGGACAAGAGTGCCTTTAAGTATGGCACAAGAATTAAATCTTAACCATCTCAGGTATAGAAGTATAATCAAGATCAGAAAATTTTCCAAAATGGATCTGCAATCTTTAGCAAAACATATTTCTAGAGACAGAGGCTATGATTTAACTCCAGTTGCATTGCCAAGAAGAAAATTAAACCAATAATCAAAGAACCTGAATGGCTGCTTTGTCTCTTGAAAGAGGATGAAAGTGTTTTAACTACATTGTTTAGGACTTACCCTTTTAATGAATTACTCTGAAGCTATAATATCTAATTTATGACTTAAATACCCTACAGGCTGTTGAGCAGCTCTCTGATCTTGTAGAAACATTCCCAAAGCCATGTCTTACCTTTTATTAATATACAAACTGAGATGGTGTCCAGTAGGCAGGCACTTAGAAGTGTTTGAGCTTCTGGAATGCAGTGTAGCAACCAGGTTCTCAGGTTAAAATATGGTTGTCTTTTGGGGTTTTCTATAGGCTGACAGGTGGATCACATAATCTCACTGTACCCTGCTGTTGCCCTGTATCTAAGGGCAACAAAATCCTGTAATATCTAGAGCTCTCCTTTTGCTGTTTTAGAGTCTTGGCCTGTGGAAAGGAAAGAATTGGTTTAATTCTTTCTTCCCCCAGTCTTTGGGTTCTCTTAGATATAATAAGGCCTAAGTATTTTGCCTCAAGGCTGCAAAGTTGTGACTTAATCTAGAAACATTATAACCTCTGTCAGAAAGTTCAGCAGAACACAGCTGTCTTGGCTAGAAAGCTCTTCTAAGGGGGCACATAGTAACATAGCTACATATTGCAAGACTGTGATTTTGGAAAAACTATAGAACTTTCTTTTATCAAATCAGGATCTAGGAAAGTCCTCATCTTTTTTCTGATAAATAGCTGACAATTTAAAATAACTGAAGGGTGCTCGCTTCGGCAGCACATATACTAAAATAACTGAAGGGCTTAGTGTTCATATTTCTTAGACCTTTAAGAATACATGCCTGAAAATGTCTTTTATTTTAATCTCCCATCTGATTGGCAGGCCAGTAGGAGCCTTGTATAGGAACTGTTTGTGTTTCAGTAGAAACCAGTTATTCCCCTGGCTGCCTGTCTTTTGAGCTTCCAAAATTAAGATAATATGTGTCTCTAAATGTAGTACTACTTGTCTCTCATTAAGAAAACAATATTTGATTTAAAAGCAACATTATATCTTTCTAATATAGTCCATAGGTCTGTGTAAATTCTCTAAAGACCTCAATGCACATATCAGGGTCATCCAGAAACTTTTTTAGCTCTCATTTAATTTGCCTTAGATCCACTGAGAAAAAGACACACAAACACAGATAGTCCTATATATATATATATATATATATATGTATATATATATTTAAAGCTGTCTCATTTATTTGTCATTTAGGCTATTTAGGCAGTATGCTTATGTTGAAAATGGAAGCAAATTTTTCAATTCCTTTGTTTTTGGCACCAGGGATCAAACTCAGGACCTGCTTGCAAAGCAGGCGGCAGAACCATTGAGCTAAATCCCTGGTGCTCAGTTGCTTTTAAAAAAGTAAATAGTAATTAATGAATTTACTGTTATGCTCAAAATCGTCTACCCTTAAGATGAGAATCTTTGCCAATAGAAAGGTGCTCCAAATCATGAATGGTACTACGAAGAACTGCAGTCTCTTTGCTTTTTTCTTCGTGAAGATGTTGAAGCTTCCTTCTGTAGATGCTCTGTGGGGAAATAGTAGCATCTGGATGTGATTTTGATTTAGTCCGAACTCTTGCTAGTTTGGCATCAAATTCCATCTGTAGTTTGATTATTTCATTTTGCTTTTCTTTTTCTTGAGTTATTAACTTTGTGTTTAACTCTGAAATTTCCGGCTCCCTTTTCTTTATTAGATCTTTGTGCTTTCATCATTTAATCCAGTTTTTTCTGCATATCTTGATAAAATTTGCTTATTTGTATCTTATGTTCTTCCTTTTTGATTTTCATGTCATGTACAAGTTCAGCAATATTATTCTTATGTTCCTTTTCTATTTGTGAGAAATCCTTTATAAGTCTGTCAATATTCACACTGTTGATCTCTTTTGTATATTCTTCACTGCTTTGATCCATGCTCAAATTGTTCTTGGTCCTGGTTCCTCAATGTCTCTCCAATAGTCCCATATTTGACATTTACTTCCTGCAAGGGATATTGTCTTTGAGGGACCTGAACAACTTACCTAAGGATGGATATAGCCTCATGGAGGTTTTAGTTATGGCTGGCCTAGATACTCCATCCTCAGCACCTGTGGCCAAGTTTTAAAGTTGACTTAGAGGGCTGGGGATTTTAGAGCCTCCTGCCTCACAAGCACAAGGACCTGAGTTCGATACCTGGTATCCCCCCACCCCCCACCCCTGCACCAAAAAATAGTTTTCTCAGAAACTTTGTTCTTGGGTTCTAAAGGGCAAATAGTAGCCTCAGGCTTAGAGGTACTGAAGGTCTTAAGGGTGAGATGTCTCTCATTACATTTACACTTGAACACAAGCCAGAATTACTTCTTAATGCAAAGAAAATCTCAACATAAGATGATTTTGACCATTTTCTCTCTTTTACAGTATAAATCTAATTATGAGATATCATCATAGTACTTTCCTCTGTGTACTTGGCTTTAGGAGGTAGATACACCATTCATGGGTATAGAGAAATACTAAATTGCTCCTTAATACATTTGAAAGGAGTGTGAAGTTTAGATATGGAGTTCCTAATCTGAAATAAGAGAAACAAATATGGCATCCCATAAGTCTCTGCTTGATTCCTGTGACCCCTAGAGGGTCCCCCAAGGTTTATTCCACTCCAGGGTAGGTAGCTATTGGTCTAGAGAGAGAGACCCAGAAAATAAAACTGGACTGGACTATCTACCCTTTACCAGTGTGCAATCTTATCTTCCTCAGGTAATTCATATCCTTACTCCAGGAAGTAATCTCAAAGCACAAGTTGCAATTGACTTCAACTATAACAATCATGTTTAGAGAACGAAGTATTGCTAGCAAACCAAGAAATTTAAACCACTGCTTTCTAGTTTCTTGAAAGAGAGAGAGGAAAATAGGGCACTTTTTCTGCAAAAGAGATTGCCTCCAGAGATGATAAGTCAGAGATTATGCCCTGAGCCCTAGGGCAGAGAAAGCTCTGAGAAATTTCTGTTGTCTATTCAGTCTTTTAGGCAACTTTTATTAGCAGCAAGACAAGGCTACTCCTTTAAGGTCCATTTTAAATTTACTAAGTATTTGAAACTAACAGGTCTTTTTAGCAGCCACAATCTCCATAGTAAAGGCATCTCTATCAACTTCAACACAAGAATGAAGAGAAAGGGTGACCAAAACAGTCCTGTATTCTATCTAGCATGTAAAAACAAATGCAAGTTGCTGACTGCTATTTTCCCTAGTGTAAGACAAAACAGTTGTTGTGAGTTGTCTTGATCTGACTTTCTGGAAGGAGGATTGGTCTGACTACAAGATTCTTAAATGAACTCCCCACAAGTTGGAGAAAACTTTAAGGGGAGTTTTTAATTCACTAGTAGAGACAATCCAAATAAAACTCAAGCTTGTTAAACATCCAAAAAAATCACCGTGTAGCATTTTCTAAGTCCACAGTCAACTTTCCAAAGTCCATAACCTATTGCAAAAGACATTTTTCTCCCTACACACGTAAATGATGAAGATCATGCCTAGGAGGGGTGAGGAGGTTCAGGTAGTTTTTAATCTATGAAAGACTTGGTTTTTTATGTTTGTTTAGAGATCTACCTTACTACTAGTAGCGAAAGCAGTCCAAACCGGTAGCTCAGCTCTTAATGGAGGCTTAAGAAGCCGCTCTGACAGCTTTGTTTCAGATTACTCTGAGACAGAAGATACCTGATGATCACTAACAGAGTTCACCTTTCACCTCACAGAGGAGTCCAGATAGGACAAGTTGTGGAGGTTTTCTGCTCATTACCCGGATGGGCTGTTGGGAGCTAGTTTCTTCTGAGGGACCTCTGGGTATCTGCCAGAGAGTAGCTCTGGCCAAGACCCCTTATTTGTCACTTCAGTTTCTGCTAGTTACATGCAATTAGAGATCTGTCTCTGAAAGGAGCCCAATTGCCTATCTGGTCAACATTCCATCCACCACTGGCATCAGTGGGAGTGGGGATTCACCAGAGGGCAACTGGAGAAACCTGTCCTCTGCTTTGAGAGTGGCAGCTGCCCTAAAGGCAATTACTAGCTGGCAGATTCTGTAAGGGACAGATAAAAGCCTGGACTGTCTTTATCTGGGATGATTTCATAGGACACCCATTTTACAGCATTTTGAAGCAACTAAGTCCAAATGCAACACATACAAAACAAGAATAAAATGTAATTTTAACAAAGCACAATGCAGAAGAATAACAAGAAATTTGCCAACATTCAAAACACACAACTTAAAATTAAGACACTTTTAAAACAAAAGCTGAAACAAAGGCCAGGAGAACTTATATGAAAAAAAACCAGAATCTATGAAACAAATGAAAACAAAAAGACCAAAGTTAGACCCTATGAAAGAAAATGCTTACCTCCAACCAGTAATTTTTGGTTTTGTTTTTTTGAGACAGGGTCTTACTACATAGTTCTGTCAGGCCTTGCACTCACTGCATAGCCCACGCTGACCTCCAACGCATGGTGATCGTAGTTGTGAGCCACCATGCCTGGCAGTGACCATTCTACACAGCAAAATCACCACCAACAATGCACCACATGTGGAGAATGGAACACTGACCAGATCTTGGGAAGGATACTTGCTTACGGTCTGGGAGTTGAAGCTAGGCAGCAGAAATCACTCTGCCTGTCTTCTCCTGGGAACATGCTCTTTGGATGGTGCACCCAGATTCTTTGGCATGCTGTGCATGCCTCCAAATGATTGTGAAAACACCAGGAGCATCAACTGGAGGGTTACAAACACAGCCAGTAGGTTAATTTGCAGATACAGAACTCATGAATGATGGGGATCAATTGTATTATCAAGATGTGAAATTAATAAAAAGTGTGAAACTAATTATGTGAAGATGAAAAGGGCTACAGTAATATTCATATATGTTAAAACTACTTTCTTCTAAAATGTTAACATATCTAGTATTCTACCACCAAGTACAAATTATTATTCAGGTCAGAGGTGTCAATCACATTATTTTAAAATAATAAATTTTATTGAAATTTTTGTAGATATAAGTTCAATGAATCACTTTGGAAAACTAAACTATGTGCAATCCCAGATCTCAGTATCCATCTTGTGGCCAATATAAAGAGTCTGTGTTTCACTTCATCTGTGTGGTGTCCAGACTGATATATTTAAGTACTGTATGTGCTGTTTACCATAGGAAAATAATTTCTCAGCTCGCACATGCACCTGTTGGGAGCACTGCATTAAGGCATGATGCAAGTGTAATTCTTGCAGCCATCAGAATTCCAGGGCTGATTTCTGGATCTATAGGCAAGAGTAGGAAAGGAGCAAGAAAATGGACAGCCCTAGTGGAAGAATCTCTGAGAGAAAACACTTGAGAGACAGAAATTCTCAGGTAAGTACTTCTATCATTCCAGTCATGCGAATCAGACTGTCTCTTAGCTTTGGTCCAAACAGAGATGTAGTCAGACTTTGCTTCTTGGCCATAGACCAGGGGAACCTTTTCCCAGGTGTGTGTGTGTGTGTGTGTGTGTTCCCCCAGAGTGCCTGGACCTCCAAGAGAGGCATCATCTCTGTGGACAATGCTGCAGTGAATCAGAACAAAGAAACGAAATGAACGCAACCCAAGCAAGTAGCTGTGGGATACGCATTTTTTGTAGTTTCCATTTTCATTCATTTTTGACTTCTGTTTATTTGCATAATTTCCAGGAAATTGTCCCCATCTGCATCTTCTATTTATTGCCATCTTTAAAAGAGATTAAAATATCCATTTTATTTTAATCTGTTCATTTCCAAATTCACACTCTTTTTCTGACTCGTGACAACATGCTGCTTCCCTTTGTCTTGGAGCAGCATCTCTAGGCTTCTCCTCCTCCCTCTGCCAAACCTTATAAAAGGCAATTTCCAGTCCCTGGGGAGGAAGTATTCATTTATAGCAGGCAGGTAGAATAAAGGTTTCACTGACTGTTGTTGCACCTCCAGAAAGGAATGTGGTAAATGCATATTTCAGACAATTCCCTCTTTTCTTTTCTGGTTAGCTTTTGAAAAATTAGTATATAATGATTACGTCCATTGTGAGGAGTTGTACATGGACGTAACACATGTTAATTCTTCTTATTTCCCCTTCTTCACTCCTTCTCCCTCCATCTTTAGGTCCCCTTCCCATTTACAAAAGATCTCTCTATTCTCTTGTGTGTGTTTTTTTGTTTTGTTTTGTTTTTTGTTTTTTTGGTACTGGGGATCGAACTTGGGACCTTGTCCTTGCAAGGCAGGCAGTGGAACCACTGAGCTAAATCCACAGCTCTCTCTATTTCTCATTGCCTATCTTTTATTTTGCTCTTTAATTGCTTTTACATTGGGCTTCTCATATAAGAGAAGCCATGAGATATTTAAGCTCGTGTGTCTGATTTACTTAACATTATGGTCTCAAGGTGCATCCATTCTCCCATGAGTGACCTGAGTTTAATCCTTTAGAGCAGACTAGAACTCCATTATGTATAAGGACCACATTTTCTTTGCTCATTGATCTGTTGATGGGCTTATAGGCTGCTTCCAAGATTTAGCAGTGAATCCCGAGCAGTAGTATTTTAAAGCTGCCCTGGTCAATCTAATGTGCTTCCAGGATACAGAGGCAAAGGAGAAAACGAGAAGATGGTACTGTGGCAAAGGTCTAGGGCAGTCCATCATTTTGGGAACTTTTGCATTGGAGAGCGATCTAAATAGAGACCTCCAGTTCAGGCAGGAGTTAATCAGAGAAGAGCATTCCAGAGAAAGGGGGCCCCCAACGGCCAAAGCTTCCTTCCTGTAGTTCAGTGAGGGCAGATAGGGGTGAGGAAGGCAGACGCACTCAGTAGGAAGGCCTGGGAGCTGCGCCGAGTTAGGAGTCCGGCCCGCAGCCCTCAGAGAAGTTGCGCAAAGCCAGCTTTACAAAACTCACTGGGCT